GATCCATATGTAGACCTTGTCCATATATTCCTGAGTATGTTGGTAGATACGTATGTCTATGTGTTCATGCAAATTGACACGTCGCATGCCAGCGCATATGTGTTCGTTTATATACATATATATATATATGCAACCATACATCTAAGTTCCGTGAACCTATGCGAATATATATCTATATACATATATATATATATATGTACACAGGACATGTATGTCTAAATATGTTTTACCTATGAATACCAGAGATATATGATTAGAACAAAGTCTTTAAAAGCTACATTCGTAATGCCCCTGTTGGTTTATGTCTAACTGCATATGTGTTATGATTTTAGATCTACAGTGTATTTCCAATCCATGTACGATAGTGAGATATGCAATTTGATAGGGATAGCCTAACCATCGATTTGGCATATATACACATGCGAATTCATTGCGGCCTTAACGTTTAGAACATTGAAGACTTCTCCAACCCCATGACAATGTTTGTGGTTTTGGGCGAAACACTCGTTTTTCTGGTGCTTTTACTGGGTGATTGAAAATTACACTTTCAGAAACGATGCATGCATTCCCCAAAAGATACATAAGCTCTACAGCTGGAGCATTGCCATGGCATTCAGGGTTACTACAGCAGTGCCCCTTGATGTCGCCGAACCTAAGGTATTGCCTGCGGAACAAGGCGAAGGGACGTTGGATCCACTGACATTTTTCGATCGCATTATAGCCGAGTTCAATTCGCATTGTTATGAAGTCGGTCATCAATTGCGAATGAACGAGTCAACGGTATTGTTGAAGCTGACGATTGCATTGATTTGGTTTTGGCAACACGTCCTCGACATTGAGAGCCACCTTGAATTGGTGCAATGGAAATCTGCATTCACGGATTTGCTCAATACGATTGACAACTACGTTGCATCAGCCAAGGATCACCTTGAAGCATGGAACATTGGTACCATCGCAGTTGCGTCGGTATTGGTTATGAATGCATTCACCGAGTTTTGCCGCCAGATTGCCAGAGGCACTCACGATTTGCCTGAAGTGAATGCGGCGTTTGGATGGCTGGTGACTAATCGATATTGCAGGTCGATGACTCCAGAATTTGTGTATCCTCATTCTGGACCGGCTGAACACGCAATATTGTGCGTCATCAAGCACGCTCGATTGATGATTCGCACAGCCATTCGCCATGGAAATGAACCAGTTTCCTTACAGGATTGACTTCTCGTGGCTGCTGTTCGATAAGATTGCGGAGAGCTACGAAGCGTTGCGCTCGCTATTCCCCAGAAGAGTTTCATTGAAGACATTTGCACCATTTAATCAATTTAATCACCATGTGATCATGTCAGGCATGAGACATTGGCTTCGTTCTACGTTTACATTGCCTTGCCCATCTCATTGGCAGAGGCATTGATTAGTGGCATGGGAGCTCGGATCCCATTTCCATTGGGTCAGTTAAATGCGATGTATTGCATTGAATCCGCAATCCGCAAGCTTGCCCATTGGTATAGGCAAAATTGCCTGTCTCCGGAACAAATTGCGGAGGATGTTGCATTCCTTTGCTTCCGCCATCTACTGTCGATGATTAACACGGATCTAAAGCATTCGAGCGGCTACGGTGGAATTCGTCGCTACCACAATTGCAACTTTGCGGGATTTTCGTGGTGCCTCACAATTGACTCGGATGCTACATTGACATATGGGCTTCCCGAGCGGAGTCGAAGAACTTCGATTGTTCTGGTTGCGAATGGCATTAGCGTGAAGAAGATGGTGAACATTGTCCATTCTGTTTCCTATGTGTACCATTCCCCAAGTGAGGGATGGCACAGACATTGTCTATTCCCTCTCACATTGAAGCAATTGCCTGGAATTCCACCATTGGCATTATTGGACAATGACTCCTTCGAGATTTCAGCGAAAGCCATTGAAAGCCAGGCCCTCGAGATTGAGAATTGGGAGGCGCTGAACGACGATGAGTACAAGATATTGATTCGAGCCGCCTCAGCTACTGCTCGAAAGCGAAACGATCTGGATTGAGCCTGGACACTCAAGGCATTGGCATGGATTGCCAAACAGTTTCTTTCTGTCGTGGATTGGCAACAGGCTGTTTGGATTGAACACCGGAACAAGACACGACATTGCTGCATTTGATTCTTTCCGCAAACTTGAGTGGCCTGACGAACCGACGAATTTTCCTGGATGATGGTCAGATTGCTCAGTTGTACAGTTGCAGACGCATTGCAGCCGCTTGTCCGCAAAACGAAGATAGACTTCGTGTGTTCGTTAGATTCGTGATTGGCAGTTGGAGTGTTTGATTGATCATTCACATCATTGCCAGTACTTCTGTGGTTTTCTCATGTCGATATATATATATATGTGTGTATATATATATATACATATAGATTTGTGATTGTTGACAAAATTCTCACAATCAAGGGACCGTGTTAGATGGCATGGTCATTTCCTAGATCATTGCAAAGCCCACTTGCAGTGCATAAACACATGCCTGCATTGGCTCAAGTGCTGTGGGCTCAAGACGTGGCTCAACTGATCATTGATGCCTAGCCTGGAAAAGTCCAGACCGAGTGATTGCATTCAGAAGCCGGCTAAGATTGAGCTTGATTGCATTGTTGCTTACATTGAGCGCATTCCAGACCAGCTTGAAATCGTCCATTGAATTTTTCACTCAAGGCTTCGTTGTTCGCCCCCCCCCCCCCAACCTTCCCCCCCCCTTGAATTTGAGAAGCGCCCCCCTTCTCAGGGGGGCAAAGGGAATCGCGCGGGACATGCCCCGTGCCATGGCGTCGGCAGCGCACATGCAATACAGAAGCGGGGCAGGCGTGGGGGCTGCTGCGGTGCGAGTTGCAAAGAACAGGAGCCAGCGTAAGGCAGGCTGGCTGTCCTTGCCTAGATGGCATTCGTTGCTTGCGTGCTTCTTGAACACGAACACAGGTGGCAATCCACAACCGTCGGTAATGGTTCCCATCAAACCAGATTGCGGTGGTGCGAAAAGACGTGTGGGCGTTTTTGGGTCAGCCTTGGCGGCGTAGGGTCGCGTGTGACACTATTTGCCGCTTTGATTTCTATCAAAGCAGATTGCGATGGTGCGAAAATACGTGTGGGTGTGCGGGGGTGCGGCGTGGAAGAAAATATAACCAATTTTTTGCAGCTTCAGTGCCTTCAATTTTGGTTTTTGGGTTCCCGGCTTGACCTTTTTGTAGTGAGTAATGTTATTCTGCAAGAGAGGTGGTGCTAGCACCGTGCTCTTTTCTCCGTCTTTTCTTGATTCCCTTCCAGGTTTCTTAGCTTTTCGGTTTAGGGCCTCGGTTTAGGACGCCTTTTTGTGCATCACTTTCAGTCTGGTTTCCTTCCTGATGCATTTGTGATTGCACCCTGCAGTTCTGTTGCTAGGGTTTAGACCCGCCTACTACTTCTGCTCCTGTTGTCAAGTGCTTGCGCTTGTACATCCACTGCTGTGGATTCACGTGTTTGCAGCAACATGGTTGCTGCACCAACTGGCGGCTGCCCCCTTAAGCTTTGAGCTTGATGGAGTGGGTGCCTTCGTCAACTTTTTCTTCTTGAGTAATGTTATTGCAGACTTTTTTGGTTATTCAGACTTCAAAAAAGTTTTGCATGTTTTTCAGAAATTGAAAGGCTCATAAATATCTTCCGACTGAACAGTTCGAAAATCTTCGCAAAACCAAAAAAATGCTTTGCACTTTGAGAAGCCAAAAAAATTACCACGTGCATGCGTGTTGATGTGTGGTTTGTTTGTTTTTGTGTGTATTGCATGTGTATGTGTGTGTCCTGGAAGTTTCGGGGGCTGAGCCTGAGCACGACATAAAATTTCGCAATTGTGTACTTGGGGGTCAATGAGCCCACGGGGAGGGAAGGTGTGTGGTACTTTGGAGGCCCGAGACTCTGGGAAAGGGATTAAAATAGAAGAAACCAGTGGGGACTTTGTGGGAACTTCTGATCCAATGGGCCGCGGAAAGCGGAATCAAACAAAACATGGATGCGTGACTTTAGCCAGGAAATGAACATTGCTTTGCGCTTATGTGAATTTTCGCTGGATTACACAAGCGCATGTCGCTTATTTTCATTTTTTGCTCAGCAATGTGTGTTCAACGACACAGTTGCATGTGACTGCACATCGGGAAGTTTTCACCGTGTTGACAAAAGCGACACGACACGTCCACTCCGTTTTGCCAATGTTTGCGCTCGCCGCAAAGCACACACATCGTTGATCTCATGTTGGTCATTGCCGAGCAGTCAGTGATGTGCCGGTGCAAGCGGCACCAAGTGTCCATGGTTTTACAGTTGCTGCACGTCTGTTCATACGCCCAGCATGTTGACAGAACAGAGCTGACCCTTCAGATTTTTTTTGGAGTGTATGTGTTGCGGCTTGTCGGTAAGCTATGTCCCTTTCCGTCCCTGCTATCACGGTGCCGGCTTCATGGAAATCCGGTTCTGCAGGCAGAGGATTAGTGCAAACGTGCCAAGGTAGAGAGTACGATGATGACACATTGATTATGTCCTGTGCATTGATGTCAAGATTCAGTCCATCCTGCAGGTTTCGGCATAAATTGTTTTCGCAACGGAGCTTGTGTTCATCGCGGCACACGATCCAGACTTGGACCGTTGCCTCTTTGGGGAGGTCTTCCTGCATGTATAGCCACAAACACAACGCTTGCATTGATTGGAAGGTTTGGCATTCGTCGTACTGCCCGCAAGCCAAGCCTCTTGACGCATGCATCCGGACTTTTGCGTTGTCCTTATGTGCAGGTGTTGTTTGGAACTAGACTGCTTCTGTGTGTAAGGTATGTAGACAACACTGCCGAAGGTCAAGAGGCAGGACGCTGGAAGCCGTTGTGTTCGTGACGGCAGCTTTGCAAACTCACGCAAACAAGGATCAGCCAAAGCATGTGCTGAGAGCTCAGTGGCTTCATTGAGAGTCGATGGCCTTGCTGCATGGCCGTGGCGATGCCTTGCAGTCGAACGGCGACGACAAGTTCTTGCGAGGAAAGGCGATAATGGAGGCAGATGTTTCTATGATTTTCAGACTGCGCAAGAAGATCGCAGCTGAGACATGTATCTGGTAGCTGCAGCAGGAGCTTCGCAAGAAGGCCGTGGAAGACATGACACGGCGCCAGGGTCTCTTAAGGATCGCAGCCATGCTTCTGTTGGGATGCTCATTATAGAGAGCCTTCGTCAATAGTGTTTCGGGCTCAAAGGCTGAGAGAAGGTAGAATGGCATCACATGCGCAGAAATCGGCATTGTTCGCAGACTGGTCCGAGCACTGCTGGTTGCATCCCGTGCACGGGACTCCTGCACAATATCCCCTGCAAGTTGCCAGAAAGGAAGGCTAGGGGGAGGGGGCAGAAGGCAGAACAGGGAGGACTGAAGGTCACGTGCAGATTTGGCAGGTCATGAGGGCCTTCAACACGTGTTGGAAGAAGCTGCCAGCGGCATTGGCCAACTACCGCATTCGAAGCCAATGCCTTTGCTTTTGACCGAGCGGGGGATCCAGTGCCAGGCTCTACTTGCATTTGAGGGAACTGTTTCTGATTCACTTCTGAGTTGTGTCAATGCAACCAGGATCAAGCGGATCATGCAGCAATCAATATCAGCACATGGAAGTCAACCAGCCTCCTGATCCGCTTGGAGTGTTCAGACGTAATCTGCGCCGGCACCCGTATGCAGCCAGACGATGGGCCCACACATGTTCTGCTCGTTGCTCTCGAAGCTCCTGAATCAGATCTTTACCGTCCCGCTGCTTTGGCAGCGATAGATAGATGCGCCTTTGCTGCTTCGCAGTAGCCACAGCAGAGTCCACAAGACTCTACAAGATTCAGTTCACTTCGCGATACACTCAAGTGTTCAACGCGATAAATCTGACAAAGCACGGGTAGTGGCGAAGACAGAGTAACAAAAGCAGCAGCGAAGTGCTGAGTTGCTGAGGTCTGGCTGATTTGTGGACGTTTCCGTCCCGACGGTTTGCAGGACTGCTTGGAGCACATGGGCGAACGCGGCGCTGTGCGATGGAATTTGTCCGAAAACTACAACGCATTGAAACCCTGCGGACGAGGCCATGACGCACAGGTGCATGCAGGTGCTTTCAAGCGCAAAGCCGCAAAGCCTGGCAGGCCTCCATGGCAGTGTCTTCGTCGGAGTGTCGAAGGTGCTTCAAATACTGGGACAGGAATTTGATCCTGCACGTTCCTAGTGTGAGAAGTTGCAGGATCCTTTGTAAATGCTTTCGATTGAACTCCATGAATTCAATCCCTCCGACCCTGACACACTGGAGGTGCCCTTGCCGAAGCGGAAGTTGGACCAGGTTCGATCTCGCAAAGTCGCCATCAAGGCTCCATTCAGCAAGAATGTTCACTAGAGTAAACACCTCATGTTTCCTGGGGTTAGCTTCCTTCTTGGAAGACCGCAACTCTGAAGGTGATGCATTCGGATGAAGCTTGTGCAAGAAGGGAGGTCCGACTCATGTCTCAGTTCCACGAGCATCCGAACATCGTGTCTCTGCTGGGAGCGCCGCTATCCCTGCATGCGAGCGAAAAGCGATGACACGTCTGATTGGCCTCGTGCAGACATCAAGGTTCCACTATTCAGAAAAAGCCTGCGATGATTCAAAACTTGCACTTGCAGGCATCTCAGACGTTGCGTGCATGTGTGCATGGAGCACCTCTCGGCATAGCAAGCAGCATGCTGACGTGGCAGCGGGCATGGTATTGGGGGGAGGGGGGTGGGAGGTGGGGGTGACGGGTCAGGGAAGCGGTGAGGAAATGTGTGTCAGATCGATGCCTACACCTACGCGACATCCAGTGGAGGAGTTATAATTGCGATACAGCGCACAATCGCGCCTGGAAGCGGGTCAATGAGTTCAGAGGCTGGAGGTCGTGGCCCCGAATTCTGAGCGAACCTCTGACCCTGACCGCGAGGCGAATAACAGCGACCTGTACTCGTATCTTCGAGTTGAGTGTTGCAGCCAACATCGAGATTTGACTTGTGAATGACCGACAGTCTTGTCCAGGTTCGTTCATTGATTTTGACATGTTGGTCTTTTTGCGTCGAGTGTCACTCGGAGTCCAAGCATCCACGCAAAAGTCACATGCGCTGACGTGTTGCATACTCGCATCGTCACAAGTGTGTTCGCATTGGTATGTAGGTGCTGTGAGCACGTTTCGATACGCAAAACTCGCGGGGCTGTGGGCATGCGGAAGGAAGGTCCAACCGACGGCGGCGTTCACACCACGCGGGTTTTCACAACTATATGGGCTCATGTGAGTGTTGACGTGTGCCGTTTGTTACTGTTATTGTTCGCTTGTTTGACGTTCCGTGGTGCCATTTGCTCGGGATGGACGCTCATGATGTTCAAAGTTGCGATCCTTTTGTGAACTGCTTCAATGCGGTGCCACCGATGTTCAGCATGAACTTGCCTGCTGAAGAGTTTCCAGAAGCACTGCTTGCAGTGCGGTGAAATCGAGTAAACAGGTGGTGCGAGGCTAAGGACCTCCACTAGCTCCGACGGATTTTATGCTGTGAGGTGCAGGTGTGACCTATTGTGGTACTTTGGTGAGCAAGGTCTGACGCTTGATGGAAATCGATTTCTGGAAGTGTGTTTCCTTGCATCTTCGTGCCCATCTGTCCTGCACTTCACTGACTGGGCCCGTTGCTGAAAGCTTTGTGTCCAACGAAGCATTTAATGGTGCCTTTTCTTGCGGCTCAGGTCATGGAGCTTGGTGTTCGGGGGGATGTGGCGGATCTTATCGGAAACGGAGCATCTCTCATGGAACTAGGCATGGTGGCATTTATGTAGCCACTGATGGCATTGCTGTCGAGGCAGTATCTTGGTGCAGAGGGATCCAGATCATGGTTGGTGTGACCTCAGCTCTTGCCTTCCTGCACGACCGACGTGTAGTTCATCGGGATGTGAAGCCTGATCCCGGGTGAAATGTTGCATGCTTTTGATGCCCTTGCAGAGGGTGCAGCCTTACTCTCCTGATTGCGGGCGGGCAAGGAAAATGTTGTCCTCCATGCTGACATGCGTGCGGTGCTCATCGACTTCAGCATTGCAGCATCTTTGGACGATGCTGTGGCCCTGCGAGCGTGTGCTGGCACGCCAGGACAACGCTTGGCAACAAGTTCTGCAGCGTCAGCCATTGCATTAGCAAGAGTTTCTGCGTCTGTGCTACATGCAGGATATGTCGCTCCAGAAATCATCGAGGGACTGCCCTATGACGAAGGAGTGGATGTGTTTTCCGCCGGTGTTCTGTGGCAGCTAGTTTGCACAGATCCCACCTCCTCAACTTCAATAAACAGTGCGAGTCTGCAGCTGCATTCAGCTTCCCGATCTTGTTCAGGTTTGTGCTTCTGTCAAGGCGCTTGCCCTTCCCTGGCCAAGGGGCGAAGGCTCTGCTGCCAAGCATTTAACTGAGTCGATGTCCCGGAGTACATGCCTGACAAGCAGATGCTGCTGAGGAGATTCTGGCCAGCTCTTTGAGATGTGACATACAGCTTGCCTTCACGTTCCTCGCAAATCGTGATGAGCTTGGAGTTCGACCACTTCTCCAAGGAGTTGGGTGCCACATAACACACAGCAAGATCAGTTCTTCTGACATGCTACCTGCAGGAATGCTGAGTAAGGAACCTTCCCGGCGCTTCTCGGTCGTGGGCTCTGGTGAATTTGTCCTGTCGATGTAACTGAATCATTGTCGAGACGACAAAGGCCCGAGAAGCCTTCGTCTCTTTCTGGTCATTGTCAGCGGATGTTCGTCAAAATCCGGCAGCTCAGCTTCCGTTCACTGCGACAAATGTCTTACTTCACTTTGTCCGTGTGTCTGTGTGGGTGCCAGGAGAGGCCCTGTGAAGTCTCGCGACTGTCGGCTGAGGTGTGCATTCAGTCAAAGAGGGTGTTAGCCGCCGATGGTCTTGTGCCGTTGCTTGACACCTACACGTCCATTCCAGGCATTCAAGGATCCTGTATAGTGTGCATTCGAGTGGTCTCACGGGCTATCAAATTTGTCGCCGTGGAGGTCAGGAAGCGTCCATGCTACCGCGAAAGACAACGACAGGTCGTTGCGGATCACATGAGCAGAAAGAAGTTGAAAGCTCGTTCTTTGCAGCACATGTGCTCGAGTCTTGGCAAGAAAAACGTTTCCTGGCAAGAGAGCAGGTCGCAGGGCATCGCAGGGCAGAAGCCGCCTCTGATAGCCAACCCGTCCAAGGAATATGTGTTCCAGACATTCTGCTTTCAGCGGCTGCATGTTTTCGGGACCCATCAGCTCCTGACTCTGAACGCTCACTAGCAGCTCGTGTCCTGTTAAGGCGCCAGTAGGCGTTCTGTCTGCGAAACCTTATTGCTTCTCCGTGTTGGGTTGGAGACAGGTCGGTGTTTGCAGACTTTCGAAAGTACAGCGCCGGCTCTGTGGGGTTCCGCAGGATGCCACAACAAGTTCACATGCTTATGCCTAATATGCCTCTGAAATATGTGAAGTCGGGCTCCTGCGGGCTATGCATGGCCTCCAGCACGCAAGACGCACGCAAGACCTGTTTTAAGCACTGTGTAAAGAGCATTCAGCTACGCTTACAGCTCTGTGTGCATTGATTGTACAGGCTTGGGCTTCGGACTGCCGTTGGGCGGGACCGCGGGATCCAAGCATTGTTTGGCCCGTAAGGGCAGAAAGCTGTACAGGGAGAGAACTCGGCAACGCCAACGGCCGTGGCTCGTCGGATGTGTCCTCGTGGGCGGCAGAAAGCTTCAGGTACATGTCCGCCATGTCCGCCAAGTCAGGTAGAGACGGTATTGCCGTTTTGAAAGGAGGTTTACAGAAAGTAAGTTCCCGTAGAGGCACCAGTCAGCTCATTGGTTTGCTTGCTTGTGCAGCTGAATATTCGATTCTTCACAACGTTGTGTACCTGAGCTGTCATAACGATACTGGAGCCATGAACTGAACCTTTCGGCATGTTGCACTAATCATGCAGAGGGGACATCATGGCAACCAAATCTGGCAGAGCATGCGACGCTACAGCCGGAACTGAGTCCGCCCACATGCAGCTGTCCACCTGGCTGCATCCTGTGCATGGAGCGGGCGTTGCTTCACCACGCCCCGTTTCTCTGGACATCAGCGGCGCAGGA